TGTGTGGGCCTCCCAGGACAAGGGGAAAGTGAGTATGCCCTTTTCTTGCCTCCTGCCAGGCATCTGCAGCCTGGCACAAGCTCTGGCCAGGTCTTCAAGCAAGGAACCTGGAGATGTTCTTTTCTAATTTCTGGATTGGTAACTTGAGGCAAATTCTGGATACTTGAGTCAGAACTAAGACAAGACTTGAATCACAGGAGTCTGTGGTCCTGAGAGGCAGAGGCGTGAGACCTTCTAGAGCTGGGTGTGTGTTCAGGCCAGTTGCTTCTCTCTGTGCCTCAATGTTCCAGGTACCCTTGGAGGGGCTGAGATCCCAGGGATCCCTGGAGCCTGGCTGCATGGCCTGGCCACCCTGATGCCCTTGTGTGCTCCATGACAGGACAGCAAGGCCGAGGAGAATGGCTCCGACAGCTTCATGCACTCCATGGACCCACAGCTGGAGTGGTAAATGGAAACTATCCAGAACCTGGTGGAGTCCTACATGGCCATTATCAACAAGACCGTGTGGGATCTCATGGTTGGTGTCATGCCCAAGACCACCACGCACATCATGATCAACAACGTGCATGCACTGCCTCATGGTGGGAGGGGGCTCCTGTGGCACAGGGCATGCAGGTGGCCATGTTGGCCTGGGGGAGATGCTGACCAGCCCTATGGGACCAGGTTCGGGGAGGGATACATAGTCCAAACCAGAGGTGTCTCAGAAATATAACATGGGACTGAGGACAGTGGCCCATGCCTGTAATCCCAGCACTTTGGGAGGTCAAGGCGAGAGGATAGCTTGAGCCCAGGAGTTTGATTCCAGCCTGGGCAACATAGTGAGACCTGGCCTCTACATAAAAATTTTAAAAATAGCTGGGCTTGGTGGTGGCACGTGCCTATAGTCCTAGCTACTCAACAGGCTGACATGGGAGGATCACTTTGAGCCCAAGAGGTTGAGGCTGCACTAAGCGGTGATCTCGCCCACTGTACTCCAGCCTAGTGACAGAGCAAGATCCTGTCTCCAAAAACATTTTGAAAAAACTGAGTAGACAGGTGTCCTGGTGGCATGATAGGTCCAGGGTCCCCTCCCAGATCTGTGACCTTGGACACGTGACTTTTCCTCTGGACCTCAATGTCCTTTTCTGAGTGAGAAAAGGGCTGTGGGGAGGCAGATCTTTGAGTCTAAGTGGTGTAGAAGCCACATCTGAAAAGCCATACTCAGGGCTCCAAGTCCAGCACATAGTCCTACCAGGGCCTGGTGGGAGGCCAGGGCAGCACAGGTATCAGGTCCAAACCTCCTTCCCTCATTGCCCACTCTCAGACCAAGGAGTTCCTCTTCTCGGAACTGCTGTCCCACCTGTACTCGCATGGGGACCAGAACACGCTGATGGAGGAATCAGCATAGCAGGCACAGCGGCGCGACAAGATACTGCACATGCACCATGTGCTGAAGGAGGCGTTCAGCATCATGGGTGACATCAACATGACCACCATCAGCACGCCCATGGGGGCCCATTGACGACTCCTGGCTGCAGGTGCAGACCGTCCCGGCCGAATGGAGGTACCAGGGCTGGCCCCCAGTAGCCCCAAAGCACCCCAGCCTCCATGACTGAGCCTGGGAGCTCTTGGAGCAGGCTCTGTGCCCAAGCTGGCAGACATGGGTGCTCTCTGGAGCTTATGGTGTAAGGGCTGAGATCCTGGAGAGGCTTGTGTGTGGGGCTGTACTCTGAGGTGGCCAGAGGCCTAGCAATGTCATCCTGGGCCCGCTGTACCTGTTGTGCAGTCTGAGTCATGCGCCAGGGGAGGGCATCCAGCTCCCAGTCTGGGAGTGCTGAGAGCCAAATCCACTGCAGAGCAGGGGTGATAGTCAGGGTCATAGCTCCTCTACCTGTCGGCAATCCAGTAGTGATCTAGGATAAAATCTTGAGAGTTCCATACACATGATCATCCCACAGCACACCTCACAGGCCAGGCAGGGACACACAGCCCCTTTCTCTCCCTCCCAGGTACCATCATAGCTGCTAGTGTGTGCCTGAAGGCAGGGTCCCTGGCCCCCACTGAAGCACTACCGCCAGCCAGCAGAGTCACGCACCTTGGCCTGCTGCTTCTAAAGGTCACCTCTGCTATTCAGCCAAGGGGACCACAGTGCCTGCTGGCCTGGCTGAGCTCCACTCAGCAAGCCCACCCACCTTCCTTGCCATGGACTCTCCCTCTTCTGCTTCTCCCAGCAGGAAGGGCCCAGCCTCACCTGTGTGACCTGCAACCCCCAACGAGCTGAGGCTCCCCCTCCTAGACTTATACATCTATAGCCTATGGCATCTGGCTGCCTACCCTCCCTACCTCCCCCAGGGTCCTGGGCTTTCTGACTGCCCAGAGGGATCTCCGGCAATCACTCCAGCCATCCATCCCTTTTAGCTTCATCATCCTGGTTCAAGCACTGTTCCTTCTCTATCAGGTCTGGTGGCTGCTGCATTGGGTTCCAAAAAGCGAGAGGTGGCCCTGGGCCAGTGGGTTGGAAGACAGGGTGACCAGAGAAGAGGGAAGCCCGAGGGGGCTTGGCATTGCTCTGAACAGTGGGTGCACTGCCTGGGTGCCCTGGAAGAGGCCAGCGTGTGTGGGGTGGGGAGGGCTGCCGCAGCCCCCAGGCACTAACCATGAAGCTCCGGCTCCTCCATCTTCCTCCCCTTTCCTTTCCAACCCCTCTTTTCCAGGAAGCTTGCCACACTCACACATGCGCCCTCCCCTCCCCGGCCCTACCACAGCTACTGTGGCACACCTGTGCTCTGCACTTGCCTCTCCAGCTCTCTGCTCGCTTTTCTCTCTCCAGTTTTCTCTCTGCTTTCTCTCCAACTGCCAGCCGATTGGGTCAGGCAAGACCATCCCGTCCTCAGAGCCCAGGCACCCCTTCGACCTCTAAACAGATCCCTCCACTTCTTGGAGACCTCCCTTTCCAAGCCTGCCTGGGCAACTGTTCTGTGACTTGACAATGGCTCCCCCAGCCCCAAAGCCAGCCCCCTACATCTGTGACTTAGTCTGTTGTAGTGGTGAGCAGACACATCCAGGTGTGACCATTGCCGAAAACTTGTGCCCCCTCTGTGGTACGCCCCTGCCCTGGTCTATAAATATCTTTAAATATATATATATATATACACACACACACCCCAACAGGTGGCCGACCACCTCGCCTCTAGCGCTGGGAATCAGTCACCGTGCTGGTCTTTTGGAGTCTTGTGGCCCAACAAGAGAAATCTGTCCCCTAACATTGGCCCTCCAAAGTGCACCACCTCTAGTGAGCCTCCCTGTCATGCCCGGCCTGTGGACAGCCAACACCCGCTGTCCCTCCTGCCCCCAACCAAGCATGGGAGTGCTGTGCAGGCAGCTGTGTGGCTTGACAGCCTCTGCCAGTCCTGCTGTCCCTCGGCTGAGAATCAAACCATTTCTGGATGACGTGGAAATGCATCCTCTGCTGGCCGTGTTCTCTATGGAGCTCACAGGAGGGGAAAGACCAAGCCATTTCTAGGGTGCTGTTGGGAGTGGTTAAAAAGGCCATAACCCTTTCCAAGGGACACTTTTCCTGGAAAGCCCCTGAAGCTTAGCTGGCTCTTATCCTGTGAAGCCAGCTCTGGCCAACAGGGGGCTGCCATGAACTCAGCCTGGAGGGAGATTGAGGAGCAGCCAGCACTCTAGAGGGACAGATGGGACAGGCCACCAGGTGCAGACAGTAGAGGGAGGCAAGGGGACAGAACGGAAGAAACCTGGGGTGGGTGGAGGTCAGTGCCCTTAGGTGCTGGTACCTGTCTTCCTGGCCACCGCCAGATCAGGCTTCTGAGTCTGTTGGCTGTCAGGGCCAGACTGCACCCCATAGGCTCCATGGCAGTCCCCATGGAATCCCCCTGGTGTCACCAGGCAGCAACAGGTAACAGGCCTGGAAGGTCCCCAACAGCCCAGCTGGACGTGCTCAGACACTCTGGGGCTCCCCATTCAGTGGCACAAACTCCAGGACCCAGTGAGGGAAATGGGAACATACCAGGCCAAGCAGTATGGCTAAATCTATTTATTCCAAAATAAAAAGCAAAATAAACAGGAGTCCAATCACCAGGGAGTCACAACTCCATCCCCTCCTCCTTCCTCTGTCCTATGCTAGCAATAAATAAGTTTCCCAGCCACAAATAATTATTAGACCCTCCTCCCCATGTGCCAGCTCCAACCTCCGCTAGCTACGATACAGGGGCGGCCCTACCCTCTGGAATATACAAAACATTACACAGACACAATATGTACATCGGGGAAGGGGGCCACCCCAGCAGCCTGTGCCCTCGCCTGGTCCACAGTTCGCCCCACTGTCCCGCCTCAGCTACCTCTCTGAATAAGTAGATTGGAGACCCCCTGAGGGAAAACTTGCTATGGTGAGAGTAAGGAGGCCATCAGACCTCCTCCGAACAAACCAACTCCACCAGCCTCTGGCTCTTAAATAACAATCATCATCATCCAGAAATATAAGGACTCAGCCCTGGTCAAGGCGGCGAAGGGTCTGTTTGTCTTTCCCCAGTAGACAGAGGTCGTGTGTTGCTACCCTAATTGTAACAGGGTGACTGGGAAGGGGTGATAGGGACATGGTGGCGGTGGAGACTCCAGCCCCATTTCTCCAGGCTTTGCTGACAGGGGCCTGCTTTTAATTTTTATTTTTATCCCATGACTTTAAAAAAAATCCCATAACTTCTTTTTCATAACTTTTTTTTGTAACTGTTCATAAAACTTTTTTCTACTTTTATCCCACAACTTTTTTTTGCCACAACTTTTTTACATTTTTTTATCCCACAACTTTTTCACCCCATAACATTTTTAATCCTGTAATTTTTTTTATTTTGTGTTCTTTTAATAAACAGTTGCATATATTCCAATTTTGTAAAAATGACACAGATTATCTCATGCCAAGCATGCTCAGCATTTGCGCAGTATCAATACCTTTAATACTATAGATTTCAAGACTCGCAAAATAAAATTTTAAGGCAAAAACAGCACTTTGCAACAATTTAATAATTTATTACATTACAGTAGCATCACACCAGCAGTCAATAATGCCACTTCAGGCAAAAGTCTTTCAGTATTTCCATTATACATTCTGTTTACAAGAATTCATAAATTGGTAAAATTCATTCTAAGAAAACTTGGCAACTAAAGCTTTGGACTGGAACTGGCATTTCTTTCTCTACTTTTCCTTCCTACCGTTTCTTTCTTTTAAACTGCAGTATTCATATTTTAAAATGTTTTAACTTATTTCAGAACATTAAGATAGCAGTTACATTTTTTAATACTTATATTATTTTTAAATGACTCAGATAAAGTTTTAGAGAAACTATATTATGGATAGGGCTAATTTATACTTTCAAATTTTCTAAAAATCAGCTTTGGTTTTAGAACTGATTGTTTTTTCATCATCTACAGTCAACGATGGGAGCCTTTCATTCCTCAGAAATAATCCCTTTTTAGGTCATCGAGAAAGAGCACAACTGCTACAGCTCATGGTACAATATCTTCATGAGCCCAGAGCACACACAAATCCTGAGGGAACTACCACAGTACAGCACTCATTCTTGGCACCGGAACAAATGAAACGCACTCTATCCTGCACACACCTGCCAGAGCAGGCCACTTTCCTCTTCTGTGAGATTTAAATATCCCCCAAAATGTTATTACTCCCATCATCAATACACAGAAAATGGGGGAAAGGCTGTTTCCAGTTCTCAGCCTTTAAACAACTCTAAATGTCAGTACTCACAGTGGCATATATTACAAAGTAATAAACAGTGCACACTTGAGGGCAAACCATATATTGAGCAGTGATTAAGATTAGATCAAACATAATAGCAGAATATAAGCAGATTTTATCTGAATTCCATAATGAATATACATGCTGCAATAACATTAAAAAAGCATGGCAGCCTATTCCAAACCAGCAACAATAGTTTTGTGCAAATAGTGGGTCTTTGTGTGTCTGACCTCCCACCACGTAAGGGCAAACTCGATATGCATGCTAATGACCTATAATTATGAAATTAAAAAAAGAAAAATGCTAAAGAATGCCAGAGTGAATATCAGTGAAAGCCACAGAGACCCACTCTCCTTTAACTTTTTACAAATAAACTTAAATTATAAATTAGAAACACAAATAATCATGAGTGTCTCTAACATTCAAATGAAGTAAATGAATTGGGTAGGAGATTAACCCCATAACTTGTTTCCTTTTGTAAAATTTCTTGACCAGCTCTTTGATGATGGTGATGTTTATCTCCTTCTTCTCGGCAACCAAGCCCGGCAAAAGAATGGCACACAGGGGTTGATGCCCAAGCCTGGGTGCTCCACGCTGTCGGTGAGGCTCACCTCACAAAGATCTTTGGGGAGAGGGAGGCGGGGATCTGAGCGCAGTGTGAGCCTCTCCTGCCCCTGCCTGCCCACCTGCCTGAGGACTCTACTCACCACCATGCTTGTCGGCAGCCCCCAGCTCCTGCGGGGCTGGGGCTCCCAGACTGGGCTCATCAGCAGGGTTCTGGGCAGTGGCCGGGAATTTGCTGTGCCCCTTGTTGTAGTCCCCACAAGCCACATCATTATCTCCTGCAGCTCCAGCAGCTTCACCTGGATGGAGGGGTGCTCAGCTGTCATGCTGCTGCCCACCCTCACGCCCGCCCTGACCCCCACCCCATCAGAGATGTTGCACACCCTACTTTCATCTCCTCCTTGTCCTGGGCCAGCCTGATGTAGTCCTCCTCCTGGTGCCGCATCTTTGGCACTACCCCCTGGCTCCATTATAAGGTGATGAACTTTCCTGAGGGAGGACAGGGCTCAGACGCTGAGACCCCTCTGACAGCCCTGCAGTTCCCACTGCCATGCCCTGTCCTCCAGCTCACTGATGGCGTCTGTCTTTCCAGTACTGGATGAATCGAAGTTCTAGTTTCTCCACCCACTCCCTTAGGTCCGCCTTCTCCTCCAGGAGGTCCGTAAGCCCTCTCTGGAGTCAAAATAATGAGGTCATATCTTGGCAGCGACCTGTCCCACCCCTGCCCTTCTTGGCCCATGCCAGGACTCACTCACCTCCAGCTTCTCCATGACCTCCTGCAGGGCCTGGTGGGTCTCCCCACTCATAGACTCGGCCCCAGTCACTGGGACTGGGATCACTGCTTCTGGCTCCTGCTGGGCAGAGGCCACCGGGTAAGCCAGGCACTGGCAGCACACTCTGTGCTCTTTCACCTGCTCTTGTAACCATGCCTGCTCCTCCTGGGCACTGACTTCAGTGGAGTTGTAAAATGCCACCTGAAGACAAGAAGTGAGCATTCTTGTAGGGGCATACACAGAACAAATGGGGCAGAGAGGTGGAGCGCAGCCCCTTCCCTTGGGGCCTCAGAAAGTGCACCTGTTGGTCACAGGTGAAATGGTGTCTGACCACTGGCACCCAGAAGGGGTGAGGGTCCAGAGAAATCAGAAGGCAGGGAAACCAAGAACATAAAGGGGTCTTGGAGGGAGCACTCAGGAAGGTGGCAAAATGGGTGCAGGGGGTTCAGGCTCACCATGGCCTCCCAGCTCTCCAGGTCCTCCGGGATGCTTGGCATGGGCTGAGGTGCCTCCTCCTCCTCACTGTCCAGATGTCCTCCTCCATCTCCTGTGGGGGGTGGCCAAAAGGGTCCTTAGACAACCTAACAAGGGAGGTACTGTGGGCCCACCTCTACCTCCACCATCACTGTATAAGCCTGAGCCAGCCCCTACCCAGAGAGGAATAAGCTGCTGTTCTTTATTTTTACTTTTAAGAACCAGGATCTTGCTATGCTGCCCAGGCACAGTCCCACTACTAGTCGCTGCTGGAGTTCTGACCTGTTCCATTTCTGACCTGGGCCAGTTCAGCCATCCTTAGGCAACTTGGTGGACCCCGCTCCCAGGAAGTCACCATATTGATGCCGAACTTAGTGTGGGCACCCAGTCAGCATAAGGACCAGCTGTTCTAAAGGTCTCTTCCAACTCCTTAATCCTGTGCTGCTAACAGTGTCCCCTTCCTGCTGGGGCTCTCTCCTCTTCCTCTGAGCAGGTTCCCATACCTTCCCCAGGGAGAGCCGTGAGGCTCAACTGAGCCTGTAGGGGCTGGTTCTGCTGGCTGGCAGCTTCCAGACGCTCCTAAGGGGCAAGGAAAGAGTGAGAAGGCACGGAGTGTGCCAGGGTGTCCCCCTCAGCAGCTCCCTCCCCTGGGTCTCCTGCAACTTTTGGCGGGCCATCTTAGCCACTGCTTTGCCCCAAGCTTCCTGCTGATGCAGCTGGTTCGTTAGCTGGGTCTGCTGTAGTAACTGCCTGTGCAGCACCTCCTTCTCAGTGGTCAGCTGCTGATAGGCGGACACCTGCTGCTGGTAGGTGGCCAGGTACTGCTGCAGGTGACCCAGGTAATGGTCTGGCTGCTGCTGCAGACTCTGAGCCTCTTGGCTCTTCAGCTCCACCTGCAGGAAGACCCTGGGCATGAGGGCACCTGGTGGCTGGCTTCCAGATTCTGGGTCCATTGATAGGGTAGCCAGAGAAATGTGGGGCTCTATCGCCTGCCCAAGCCCCTGGCCCCTTGTTCTGGGCCTAAGTGACTGCCTCCTTTTCCTAGAACCCCATGCCTCCTTCCCCAGCCTCAAATCTCATACCCTCTTCTCATCATTTAAACTGTAGGCCACAGACTGGTGGAAAAGCAGTGGGAGACAAACACCATCTGCTAAGTGTGCTACATGCCTAATGCTTTCCAAGTATTATCTCATTTAATCCTCAACTCCTCTGTAAGGAAAATGATAACTTCCTTTTGAAGTTAAACAAACAGAGACTTAGAGATGCAAAGTACTTGAATGGTGACCTGTGGAACTGAGGCTGGAATCCAGTTTTAATCTAAGGAGTATTTTTGTTTTGTTTGGAGACAGAGTGTCACTCTGTGGCCCAGGCTGGCATGGAGTGGTGCAATCTCAGCTCACTGTAACCTCCACCTCCTGGGCTCAAGTGATTCTCATGCCTCAGCTTCCTGAGTAGGTGGGATTACAGGCATGTGCCACCATGTCTGGCTAATTTTTTTTTTTTTTTTTTTTTTTTTTTTTGGTAATTGTAATAAGAGATGAGGTTTTACCATGTTGGTCAGGCTGATCTCAAACTCCCTACCTCAAGTGATTCTCCTGCCTCAGCCTCCCAAAGTGCTGGGATTATAGGCGTGAGCCACCGTGCCTGGAATAAGGAGCCTCATATACCACTGTCTCTTCCCCTGTGATTGGGGGGCTCCATACCTCTACCTGGGATGATGATGTCCAGACCTGGGAGGAGCCCAGGGCTCCACATGTCTAATAGTCAGAGGGCAGGAAGCAAGAAACAGTCACAGGACTGCCCTGGAGGGTGCTGGGGCCACTTGACCTCAGGCTGGAGTGGCCTCTGTACTGGCACCTCCCCTCCCCAGAGGCTGGTGCTCGCTTCCCAGCCCTTCTTGGATAGGGGGTGGAGGTTACTGTTTCCTTCACCTCGCTCAGCTTCTCCTGCAGCTCCTTTACCTGCTGCTCCAACTGCAGTGCGCTCTTGTTCTCATTGTTCTGGACAGAGAGAAGCAATCAGCAGCCACCCACTGCAGCTGGAGAACCAAGAACTTGGTGTCTGCCTCCCATGGCATCGGGAAGGGTGGAGGCAGGTGAGAAAAATCATCCCCTCTCTCCACAGCCTCCAGCGCAGCGCTCTGGCTCACAGGTGCCTTTAGAAGTAACATTTCACATGAGGGCTACAACGCCCCTACCAAGGCCTGGAGGACTTGGTAGGAGGGCAGCCTCCCCAGGTGGGGCAATGCACCAGCTCTTCAAAGCCGCTCTGTGGCTCGGCCAGCTGCTGAAGTCTCTCCTCCTGCTCTTGAAGCCTCTCCTTTTGCCCCCAGATCAGGACACTCATGCGCTGATTGTTGTCCACCTGGGCTTGGAGTTCTCCTGCCATTCTCTCCACCTCCTTCCTCAGATGCTGCAGCTCTACCTCAGAGGGCACTGCTGGAGGCTCCAGAGGCAGGGGTTCAGCGGAGAAAGGAAGCAGGCAATAAGGGCCTCTGGATTCTCAAAAAAACAAACAAAAACACCTCCTGTTGGTGTATAGCTCCTCTCAGGCTCCCCAAACTTGACCACACTGCTAATAATTCCTCACACCCAGATGGTAGCCAATCTTCCGAACCACATTCAGATAGAGAGCACTGTGGGTGACTGACAATGGGCCTTCTTTGCTGATGGGGACACTGAGGCTCATGGAGACGACAAGACTTGCTATCTCCTGGCACAGACCCCTTTCCCTCTGCCTCAAAGCCCTTCTATCCACCCCCCTCCCTGGGGCACTCTAAGCCACTCCCAGGGCCCTCTGATGCCAGGCCTGCTCCCAGGTCATGCCAGCCCCATCTTACCCCTCTGGTTTTTGAGTTTGGACAAGCTCCTCTCCAGCTTCTCTACCCGATGTGTATCATGCTTCTTCTCCTTCTTCAATGTGCAAACCTGCCCAAAGCATGGGGGCAAAGGGCCCTGGAGAGAGGGGCTGGTGGCTGGACAGGCTGCCATCTCCCTCTCTGCTCCCACCTCCACAAAGCCCATGACCACCTCTGGCTGTACTATTCCCATTTTACAGATGCCCAGAAAGATCCAGTGACCTATTGAAGGTGGGGGACTGAAGGGTCAGAGCTCCCCTCCGGAGACATTTTCCTCATCCTCTGCTGCCACCAGGCCCTCTCTCCTTTTATGTGTTGAGCATATTCATCTCTCTCTAGCTGGACTTGTTTAACCAACTCCTTCAACTGCAAGAACAGGCACAGAAGTTAGGAAGGGCCGTCACTGGTCCTCACCTGCTCCTGGCCACCTGGGGTCATCTTCCTTCCACGTCCCTCCCTCTGCAAAACCTCACCTGTGTTGCATGTGTTTCAGCAGTGCCTGCTCCCGTATGGACTGCTCTAACTGCCACTCAATAACTGCTTTACCGCGGCTCGAGGTCTGCATGGTGAAGAGTGAGAAGTTTCCAATCTGTGGATCCTGGGGCATTCCACACAGTGCCCCTTAAAAGGGCTAGGGCTTGGCTCAATATACAACTCGGTCAGTAAAGATCAAGGCACTTCCAAGCCCATGGTCTGGTTTTTAAAAGAACTCAGCCAAGTTGGAAGGGACAGGGAAAAGATCGAATTTACAGCTGGCTAACAGACATCCAGAGAGATCAGATAATATTGCTTTGTTATTACTGTTATTGCTACCACTGTTTGAACTTTTATTGAGTGTTTCACCAGGTACCATGCTAGCAATCCCATTTAATCCTTGCAACCACTGTAGGAGACAGTTACTATGATTACCTCTATTGTGTAGATGAAAAAACATGGAGTATTCGAGGTTAAGTGCTTGCCTAAGATCACTTAGGCAGAGCTGGGATTTGAACACCCAGGTCTATCCAATTCCCAACCCAATTTTTTTGTTGGGGGTGGGGGCACAGATAGGAAGGTGAAAATTAATCTTTTTTCACTATTTGAAAGGATGATACATTCATATAGTCTATAACTCAGAAGGAATACAAGGGAAGTGTCTCCCAGCCACTCTGTTGCTATCTCCTGAGCTTTTTATGAACCCTTAAAGACATGTTTTATGTATATTATCATAGTATGCACACACACACATACACACACACACACACACACACACACACACGTTTCCTCTCACTACAGAAGTGGTAATATATTAAAAGTATTCTTCTGTACCTTCACAGTACAAGTAAGTACCCAATACCCCACCTAGGACTTGGCCAAGACCACAGCCAGGTAAGGGCAGGGCAGGCACTTGGCCTCCAAGCTCTGCATCCAGCACTCACTCCCCACAGTGCCTCCCAACTCACCCACAGCAGCTGACTCAGCCCCAGGTTGCTCTAACAACCATACACAAAAGCAGAGGGAAAAGGCCATGCTGTGTTCTGGGCAGGACACTCCATCCTGTAGAATGGAGCTTTAGGCTCACTCCTCCATCTAGGAAGCCAAGCTGCCAGGGGATGGGACAAGTGGCTGAACTCACACTGATCTCCTTCTTCTCCTGTGTGGCAGTGACAGCAGAGAGAGCCCACTCTAACTCTGCTATACGCTGCAATGAATGTTGCAGGCAGCCAGCCACATCCTTGGATTCATCTGTAATGAGACAGTTGAGATGGGGCCCAAAGAACTCCCCCTAAAGACATGCCAAAGTGCCAGGTTGAAGGATGACAGGGTGCCCAGATTCCTACATTCAAAGTATCTGAGAGAACGTTTCATGTAATACAGGTCTGTATTTAGTTTCTCCTTCTGTATATTCAATCTCTGGATTTGAACCTTTGGGAGAAAAGCCAAGCAAGTGCTGAAAGAGAAGGAAACATTCTCCGGAGGACAGGAGAAAACTTCACACCCTCCACTCACCTCTAGCTCCCTTTTGGCTTTCTGTTTCTCATTGTTTGCTTTCTTTTCCTACAGGAAGAGGAAGACAGAGCTCTTACCAGGGGGAGGAAGAGATGGCACAGCAAGAGACAGGCCCCCAGAATGCCACCAATGCCCCAGGACAGGCCCACCCGTGGGACCAGGTTATCAGGGACCCTGTAGGGATGGGGTGGATCTGAGGGTTGAGCCTTCTTCCCTAGGCTGGGAGTGGGTGAGACGAGACCAGGGCTTCTACATCTGAGTGCCCCCAAAACCCATCAGTCATGTTGTGAGCAAACAAAGAAATCACGTCACTTCTTCCAGCTGATGTTCTACTTGTTTCTTCTGTTGTTTCTGTTGGGAGAGTCAAATTAAGGTGATGGAGGGTGGCCCCCTCAACTCTATTCCCCAGACCAGGGAGCAGCAGGCAGTGGCCAGGAAAGGATTTTAAAGGCAAAGTTCTCAGACCCAAAGGGAACACTACCTGGTAAATTCTCCTCAAGGTCCGAAGGACAGAGGATTTGGGTCTTTGTTGGTTTTCAACCACAGCCACAGAACTCAGTCTTAATCTGGAATCTCTTGAGAGGAGAGTAACATAAGCCTCTAGAGATGGAGTTTGAGAGAGGCCACCCCTTCTGCCAGCTTGTGATTTAGAAAAGTGTGTTCATTCAATAAACATTTACTAAGCATGTATGGACCAGGAACGGTTCTTCACAACACATATAGGATGGAAAAGGACAGACAGGAGCCCTTGGCCCTAAGGTTTCCATTCTAGGGGGCCTTTAAATCTCTGACTCTCAGAACTAACAGAAAGATACTCTGGTATTCCCTACCTTCTCCGGAAACACGAACCCAAAAAGGAGAGGTGGCTTGTTCAGAATCAAAGAGCAAATTAGGGACTGAGTCACAGCAGAAATATGGGGCCCCTGACAACCAGTCAGGCTAGCACTTCCCCGAGGGGCAAAAACCCCAGGGTGTGTGTAGCTAGGACTCAAGCAGGGGTGTCTGGAGAGGAGAGAGTCAGCAAAGAGGGCAGCAAAAGAAGAGCCATGCTGCATGCTCTGGGTTCCCTCCAGTTGAGGCCTGGGTGCCCCAGCTCCCTATTTGTCCTTGGCACCAGGGGCCCCCAGGCCCTTTCTTCAGGGTCCCAAGGGGAAACTGGAACCCAAGATTGGCAACGTGGAATCAGGGATCCCCACTGGACTCTTACCAAAGATTTGATGGTGTTATTCAGTTGACTGATTTTTACAGACCTCAAGTCCAGGATTACGGCTGGTTCTTGGCATGGGTTCTGAGGTGCATGCAGTAAGGAGGACGTGGAGGAGGAGTGGGTCAAGAAGTAGAGAGAACAATCATTAGGATTGGGGTGTGTGTGGGCTGTCTCAGCTGGCAGAGGGGCACCCAGCCCCCACTGTGGGAGAAGGTTGGAAGGCTGGCCTGCAGGGCCACTGCACCTCCGCCCAGAGCCTCTTACCTCCAGATCCTTCAAGGTAGCAGATGATGTAGGGCCCTCCCCATGGATACCTGTTGCTGACTATAAGAGATGAGAGTGTACGTAGGGATGTTCTGTCCACCTCAGTGTCTAAGCCCTCTAACTTCCTTTCTTCCCCATCAACTGGCAACATTTTCTTTTCTGCCTATCTTGGACCCTTTCTCCCAAAACTCCTCTGTGCCAACTTCTCTCATGGTTCTTATCTCCCCACCATCCCACCCTGGGACCCTTTCAGTGAGTCCTGATGGCAAGTGACTGTTCTCATTGTCCTGGCTTCCCTTTGAGACTGGGGATGAGGAAAATCAAACAGCAATGACCATATCCTGGATGTCCTGGGTGTTTACAGCAGGTCATGTACTAGGGATTAACATAAAAATAACAATGACAAATCTCATTTAAACTTCACAAAGGGAAGTCAAACAATACCACCTCTATTATACAGATGTGAAAAGAGAGAGGCCCAAAGAGCTCAAGCAACTTGCCCTAAATCATATCCCTAGCAGACGGAGAGGCAGGATTCAAACCCAGACTTCTTAACCAGTACCTAACAGTCCATCCCCAATCTTAACAATTACCCTCTACTGACCCTTGGGCCCCCTGTTCCCAGGAGCCTGGCCAGCCAAGACTCACATCTCCAGGTGAGTGGCAACCATCAGCAGTGGCTGTCTCAGGGCCACTGCCGTTTGTTTTCCTGTTCCTCTTTGCTCCTGCTGGAACGCCAGGGCTCTTTCTCTGCCAATATTCTTTTAACTGTGGGAGAGAAGAGCAGTAATACTCATGAGTACTATCAGCCCCTACAGCCACATCCTCCTTTACAGTTTTTACAAAATACTCTTATACACCAGCTGATTTTATGACACCAACAACTGTACAAGGTGTTGGTACAATCATTTAGTGACTGAGGGGGATTGATATCATGGCTAGAGAAAAAAAAAAAAAGAAAAGAAAAGAAAAAAATGTAACACTGGAACTTTGAAACTCAGTCTTCTGACTCCAAGCTTTGGGGTTTTGCCAAGAAACAGTGGCTGCCAGGGACCAAAACCAGAGGCAGAGGTAAAAAAGTAAACATTAAGTAGGCAGGAACTGTATGCCGTGTGGTTTAGAGTCATACATCCTCACTTGTCTATTAGTGTGAAGCAGTGCACCAGTACCTCTCAAATTTTATATCAATGTGTCCTCATGGCAGAAGGAAGCCTTTCTGTTAAATCTGGGAATTTATCAGAAAGAAGACAACCCAAACCTCATTTCAGAGAGAAGTCTGGTATACTCTTAGAAACCTATGTTACCTATGTGACCTATGTGACATCCCTAAGTACGTTATTGTTTTTTCTCTTGATCTCAAGAGAATCAAGGGAAACTGATGCTTCAGAAAGATGTCCCACATTTATCCTGTGGCACTCAAAGTACCCCAGGTTCAGATAATATGAGGAAGATTCAAGCTGTCAAGTTCAGTTTCCCAAGATCTATTCCACAGAAGATGAGCAAATCTCACTTCAGAAACCACTGAATGAAGGGCAGTCTGGCCCCAGAACCATGGAGAATCAGAATATGAGGTGGAGAACTCAAAAAAAATGTTGAAATCTCTCTGGAAAGTAGAAGCCTGGGAGAAAAACCAAACCAAACCCATTCCCCCATTGCCACCCAGAGATACTGTTAATGTTTTGAGCTCACAGGGGAAGTGTAGGCTTTCCCCACTGTCAAAGTCTATGTGAAGGGAGTAAGGCAGCCTGAAACCTCTTGCTCCTAGGTCCTATAGTCTCCATTCCCCTTCCAGCTGGAAATTTGTGCTGTGACCAGAGGAACCAGAAATGGGGTGAGAATGCTTAGGGGACTGTGTTGTAAGATCAAAGGCCAGTCTTGCAGTAATGACAGTTCCTAGGTGGACTGTGACATCACTACATTCCACTCCTCCTGGTTGGGGGAAAGGACCACATCAGTGTGATGTCTGAGTAGCTGCTCCATGATGGGGGAAGGAAACACAGGGTTGAGACCCAGGTCCTTGGAGATGCCAGCACACAGAACCCAGGAGGTCAACCTTGAGGCAGCAGGAGGGGAGGGCAAAGTCTGCAGCAGGGAGCCCCAGGAGTCACCAGCCCAAAGTCACCCAGGGATGACTACCAAAGGCAGGGCCTGCGCCTGGGGGACCCAGGTCCTTGGAGACACGAGCCTAAAGAGCCCAGGGGGGGTCAAGCTTGGAGTGGCAGGTGGTAAGGGCCCAGTAATGGAGTGGGGAACCCCAGGAATCACCTGCCCAAAGTCACCCTGGGGTTACTGCTGTGGGCAGGGACTGGGCTGCTTGCTGAAGGGGCGGAGCTGACTGACAAGACTCTGGTTGGGGGAACCCAGAGAGGCCATGGTTGGGGGGCCCAGTCCGATGTGCCTCAGAAGCGGTATGGACTCTGGCAGTTGTCTTGTCATCAGAGGGGATCTGATGGGTTGAGAAAAAAAAAAAAAAAAAAAAAAAAAAAAAAAGAATTGAAACAGTCTTCGATCAGCTTGGGTTCAAGAACAGTGTGCAGACCAAAAAAGCAGAAAAAAAAACAAATAGCAGAATGTATGCCGTGGTTAGATCAACTCATGTCTATTAGTGGAAGCAGTGCACACATGGTCATACATCTATTGTCTATTAGTGGAGCAGTGCCAAACCAGTGGCTGGGTTGAGGGGCCATGACATGGTGCGTTTTTACGTTTTTCTTTGCTGCCGCCAATTTGCTCTGTTTCTTCTGCCATCATGGGGTCGGGAGGGAGGGGAGGTTGGGACCACATCAGCGAAATCCCAGCAAGCACTGATCAACACCTCCAGTCACCTACCAGGCAGCTATGCCACTGATCCACAGGAGGCCTAACCAGGGCCCCAGTAGAATGCAGAAATGGGGTGTGGCCTTAAGGCTCCAAGCTCATTGGTCACTGAGCAAGATTAAAGGGAAAGGGGGTGTAGCCAGGCAGTAGTATGCCCAGAGGGACCTGCGGCTCACAAAGAAAGCTGCCCTCGCAACCGTTGTCCCCGCCCACTCTGAGGGGAGGGGCTGCCAAGTCTGGGATGAGGGAGGTGCCAGCTTTTGTTTTAAAAGCTTTAAAACTTTAAAAAATATATGTGTGTATACTTTATATATATGTGTGTCTGTGTGTATCTATGTTTACCTTCAGAGCTGTGTTCATTATCCAGTTTCTATGCAAGGTCTATGATTTTGGCCTATATTTTTCATCTTCAAACACAGTACAAAAATTACCAGTATTACCATAACTGAGATACAGATCCTATAAAACTGGAAAATCCATAGCATGCCTGATGATTGATGAAGCAGATTATATTATCCAACATTCTAATAAGATAAAATAATCACAATAGTTTGTCTTTTTTGGAAAAACGTTTCTCTTATTCTCCTACGTTATAGTTAAGATTTTTTTTCTTAAACAAGAAACATGTCTAATATCTGTAACAACACAAAGCTTTTGGGCCGGGTGTGGTGGCTGGCGCCTGTAATCCCAGCAGTTTGGGAGCTCGAGGTGGGTGGATCACCCGAGGTCAGGAGTTCAAGACCAGCCTGGCCAATATGGTGAAACCCCATATCTACTAAAAATACAAAAACTAGCCAGGCATGGTAGTGGATGCCTGTCATCCCAGCTATTTGGGAGGCTGAGGCAAGAGAATCACTTGAACCCAGGAGACGGAGGTTGCAGTGAGCCAAGCTCACACCACTGCAGTCCAGCCTGGGTGACAAAGTGAGACTCCATCTCAAAAGAAATAAAATAAAATACAAAATAAATTTTAAAAGCTTTCAATTTAATAAGCACTCAAAGCTCTTTACCAGTTTAAAACAAATACAAGGCCCATTTTTCTAGAATCACCTGGCCTCTCTAAGCCTTGCAAATGAAACTGAATTTCTCACTTCATACTTGGCTATGACTTACAATCATGAAAACCAAGAATTGTGTTATGTCATTGTGTACTGCTTGTTACCTGAATTCCACACGAGACTGGGATCAAGGGTTGAATCTTTCATGATTTGCTCCATAACCTGTGTGCTTCTTATTCCAGACCAAACCAAGCTTTTGTCTAGAGTTCTATAATTTACAGGTAGTAGACAAGAGTGGTTCTCAGTAATGTCATCTCTGGACTAGCAGCGCCAGAAGCACCTGAGAACTCTTTATAAGTGCAAATTCCCAGACCCTACCCTGGACCTGGTGAATCAGAAACTCTGGAGTAGGGCTCAGCAATCTGTGCTGCAGTCATCCCTCCAGGTATTTAAGAACCTCTGCCATACAGCAGGTAGAAAAATGTGTTTCCTTCTGGAGGCCCAAAGCCAGGGATACTATATATTCTGTCTTGATACAAAACAATGACATGCAATTAAAACACATAACTCTCCTTCCTACTCCCACCCTCCATCCAATGTGTTTTATTTTTATGAGTTCAATAAGAAAATAAGTAGCATTCAGAGGTTTACTCTAACAAGTATATTTACAAGAATCAGTTCTTATCTAGCCTGATCTCATACAAAACCATTTACATCCTCTTACTGCTAAAGTTTTTAAAAAAATCTTCACAATGTAAGTCTCAGGCACACTAGGAGTTCTATAATAAACCACCAAGTAGATCAGAAGGTCCAAACTTACTAGAGAAGAAAAGTGGAATCATTGGCTATATTTCCAAATTGCATCCAAAGGAAATTTAAGTTCTGAAATTTTTTCACCTTCATACTTCCAAGTTAATAGAATTCAACCAGAACACTCCATTTCTTCAAAGCCTCTAGCCAGACAAAGTTTTACTGTATTACTTCTTGCTTTCAATGGATATAGGCAGAGTCCTGGTAGGCACATTTTGTATACCTGCAAAGATGCAGAACTAAACAGTTCCATCTGTTCCATATTAAAACAAAAGTCCTGTAAACCTTGGATGGTGAGTGTAATACTTCAGCACTAGCACCAAAGTTCAAATAGGAAAAGATGCCAAAACACCACTAGCAAACAAAACTAAACTCTTGGCCGGGAGCAGTAGTTCACACCTGTAATCCCAGCACTTTGACAAGCCAAGGTGGGAGGATTACTTGAAATCAGGAGTTCAAGACTAGCCTGGCAGCATAGCGAATTCACATCTCCATAAAAAAATTTAAAAATTAGCTGGGCATGGTTGCACACACCTCTAGTCCCAGCTACTTGACAGGCTGAGGTGGGAAAATTGCTTCTGCCCAGGAATTTGAGGCTGCAGTAGCTATGATTATGGCACTGCATTCCAGTCTGGGTGACAGAACAAGACCTAGATGATTACATTCTCTCCTGCTCCTGTTTACACTAAAATCACTAAGTTAAAACGCTTTCAAGTTTGGCAGGATAAAAATTAAGTGAAATGTGACTTTGAAGTTTGGAAGGAGAAAGAAAGAAGGAAGGAAGGAAGGGAGGGAGGGAGGGAAGGAGGGAGGAAGGGAGGGACGGATGGACGGAAGGAAGGAAGGAAAGAAGGAAGGAAGGAAAAGGAAAAGAAAGGAAAGGAAGAAGGAAGGAAGGAAAGAAGGAAGGAAGGAAAAGGAAAGAAAGGAAGGAAACAAAGGAAGGAAAGAAAGAAAAAAGAAAAAGAAAGGAAAAAAAGGAAAGGAAAGGAATTAATATACATCCAGCTATTAAAAATGATGATGCCAGAATATATTTACTGCCACAGAAATATATCCAAAATATAATAAGTGACAAAAGGCTATTATGATTCTACTTTCTAAAATGTTTACATGCATAAAAAAGGGTAAAAAGCAACAAACTAGAATGTTTTAGTGGCAAATTAAAGATTTTTCTTAATATTTGTCATCCAAATTATTACAAAAAGAATGTGATTTCCTTTATAATCAGGGAAAAGTGTTAATTTCATTTATCTATATTTAAATCTCTTTTCTTTTTCTTAGTTTTTCTCCCATATGTATCCCATGTAGGCTAGAATCCCTGCCTCTTGAGGGAAACCAGCCCACTTTTGGGAAGTGCACTACATAAAGTTGTCCCATCTTCCTTTTATTTTAAGACATCTGGAGACATTTTTGTTTCAAATTCTCTTATTGTTCTCAGAATATATATTTTAATATATGAAATTGAGGAAAAGACAAAGGAAAGGCTGACTCCCTACCACCCTCCTGGGGCTACTCTTCCAATTTTTGCTGCTATTGTTATGTATTAATATTCACTGGGTACTAAAAAGATGGGCAGCCCCTTAGATCCTTTTTTCTTATCTCTTTCTCATAATCCTACTTCATTCCTTCATTCACTTATTTTTTAAAGGGTCATGTGTACAAATATATAGTTTTTATTTTAAATATAACTATCTATAAAAATTTTAAATATAACTATCTATAAAAGTATGTGCAACATCCCCTTCACAGTCTTATTCTCCTTCCACAGCCAAACATTTTTAATTCATTTCTTATATATCATTTCAGAATTTATCTTTGCAAATACACATGTATATTCTTATTCTACTCTTCTCTCTCAACACAAAAAGTAGCACACCATACATACAATACCATTCCTTCTCCCTTTTAAAAAACACACACAATAGGTCTGAGTTCTTCTACATGACTACAGAGGTCTTTCTTATTCTTCTTTTCAGCTGCACAGCATGCATCGTTAGGATGTACCACAGTTTACTTAACCAATTCCCAGTTGGCAGACAGATATCATCCCTATCATACTATTACAAGCAATAATGCCAAGTATAACCACCCACACACACCAAGTTCATTTCTGAATCTGCCTTTCATGAAGCCTCTGTTTGAATCACAAGGTCACAAGGCTGAAAATTAGCCCCTTTCTTAGTTTTCATTATGTACAGCAGTATGTAACAAAAGACTCCGTTGGGCAAAGCAAACGTACCCTTTGGAGATTTACTTCATAACAATAAATGGATAAACAGAACACCAAGGAGAACCATTTCTATTTAACCATGTGCATGTATGTATACAATCATGCATATGCGTAGGAAGTATAAATCAATCCATCAAAGCATTAAGCATTGTCTCAGTATGGTGGATCTATGGAGTGCTTTGTAGACCGCCCTCCTTTCCTATCAATTCTTTCTAATTTCACAACAGTAAATATGTATACTTTTGCAATATAAAATTTCAAATAATGCTAACTCAAATTAAGTTGTATATATTCCTTCAGTCTGTCCTATATTTGTATGGTGCTCCAGAGTGCTCAAATATCACTTCATTAAAAAATTTTATTTATTTTTCAAATATAGAGATGGCAGGGTCTTGCTCTGTCAACCAGGCTGGTCTTGAACTCCTGGACCCTCCTGGATTCTCCCACTTCTACCTCCCAATGTGCTGGTATTACAAGTGTGAGCCATCACACCTGGCCGGCTTCATTTCAGAAATCTTTCCCCAGCACTCCATATATTACAAATAATTCCTTTTTCTTGTTTAGAAAGCATTTTAGTGATATCTCTATTACCTCACTTATCACATGATAATCAATTGCTCACCCATCCATCTCCCTTCATTGCTCATGAGCTCCTTGAAAAGAGTCTGATTTTCAGCACCTTGAACAGTGTGCGACACTTACATGCTTCATACATAGAGAAGGAAATGATTTCACTACAGTGTAATTATTCCCAGAATTCAATATCTGTATTTCTAAATTGTTCTAGATAGTCTGCCAACAACCTGAGAATGTTATGTTTTTTCCCTAAAACTTCTATCCATTACCGAGTGTCTACAGTCATAGTTAACTCAATTGTGACATGACCTCTG